CCACAAGAATGTCCCACAAGAGTGTCCCACAAGAGTGTCCCACAAGAGTGTCCTACAAGAGTGTCCCACAAGAGTGTCCCACAAGAGTGTCCTACAAGAGTGTCCCGCAAGAGTGTCCCACAAGAGTGTTCCAGAAGACTGTCCTACAAGAGTGTCCCGGAAGAGTGTCTCACAAGAGTGTCCCTTAAGAGTGCCCTACAAGAGTTTCCTGCAAGAGTGTCCCACAAGAGTGTCCTACAAGAGTGTCCTACAAGAGTGTCCCACAAGAGTTTCCTACAAGAGTGTCACGCAAGAGTGTCCTACAAGAGTGCCTTTCAGGAGTGTCCCACAAGAGTGTCCTGTAAGAGTGTTCCACAAGAGTGTCCTACAAGAAGAGTGACCCACAAGAGTATCCTACAAGAGTGTCCCACAAGAGTGTCCTACAAGAGTGTCATTTGGACATATCTAGCTTTTCGAACGTGTTTGCATTCGGGTTCGTGGGCTCCATCCTGTTTTTTTTACTGAGGATGTCTACCAGGACCCAGAGAAGAGTTGGTTGAAAGTTGAAGGAGTGCATTGCACTGTTGAGGAGTGGGTGCTTGCAGATCAAACCGAAGATGCGACCTCAGCGTGTCCGCTCCTTTGCGGAAGCTTGTCCTGAGGCTCCGAACTGGAGCCTGGCTTCCAGCACCGGCCGGCACCCCCTGGACTCGGACGAAGGTGTGGTATGTTGTTCTTGCCCAAAGCTATCCGGAACTGGCCGTTACTCCCGCAGCCGCTGGTGTGCCCAGCTCTTGTTACCAATAAACACCTAGATGCACGGACCATGCTCTTTCAAGTGCCTGCTCTGACTCGCGTGGGTCAGAACTGCTGTGTTGCGTCGTTCCGGATTAAGATCCACAGTAGCTTGTTCCACCGCATAACAGCGAAAATCACAAGCATCTCACTAGAAGGATATGGAAGGTCATGTTTCCGATTTAAACTTGGGTGGGGTTTTGAAAGGACTGGAGGCCACCATGGCCAAGACGGCCAAGTCAATGTTGGAGGTGCTACAGGTGAAAAAGAAAACACCGCGACTTACATTCACCTGAATAGATGGCATGTTGTTTTGATGTTGTTTGGGGGTAATGTCTTCTGAAATGACAATCTAGGTTTGAAATGGTTTGAACATGTACAACCTAGTCAGACGGTTCTACTATTCCTGGGATTTGGGTGCTGTCCAAGGCTGAATAGATGCACATTTGTGCTAGCGGTTGATTCCCTTCATGTTGTATATCAAGGGGTACATGGCCTCTCGATGACCTGCTTCACACATTCTTTATTTGTATATTATGTGTTTATCCTGGTTATTCGGACAACCTGCATGTTCTAAGAGGTTTCCTGTCCAAATCCATCCAAATACTGAAAAGGGCGACATGTTTTGGAGGGGTTTATCATGGTTTGGGCCCCTTGTCCAAGAGCCAGTTCTCGATTTCCAGACTGATTCAGTTTAAACAGAAAAATATATTGTTCACCACCACCCAACAACCCCGGCTGGTGGCCTTCAGTTCTTAAACTTGGGTTTTACATGGTTTTACAACAACCAAGAATGACAACAATATATATTTAGAACATTTCGATACATTTTTGAAATACCCAGAGAAGATCAGAGAACCAAGAACCCATAAGAACCCCCAAATGTCAAAATAGCATGAACATACAAGCTTGTTCAAGACAACAAGACGTTTGCTGACTTCCTAAACGCAATATGATTGCCCACAAGGTTCTTTCCTTTAAACGGGTGTTCTACGGGATCGACACGCACACGAAAAAAGCACTTAGGTGTTTTGGAACAAGCACTGCTATTTGTTTTTGTCAAGTGCAACAATCATAGGTGTTTGCTTCTCTGTACCAATGAGACAAGGAATCCGCTCTCGACCGCAGCTTCGAGGTGCGCACCGGTCTCGACCCACGTGCGCGTGCCGCCACGTCGTGTGCTGCTGGCGTGCTGGTGCTGCTGGCCTTGAGGGCCTCTCGCGGACGACAGGCGGGTTTGGGGTGCGCACGAAGGACCACTACGAGACCAACAAAAAGGGAGGTTGTGCTTTGAGATGTTGCGGTGAACCCGCAAAACTGAATTGCGAACATACCACGTAATTACCATTTTATAGCAGCCTGTAGCAGACAAACCAACCTGGAGATTGGGTCGATGGTTTGAAGAGGATGAATGTGCTCCCGGCTTTCTGTTGAAAGCTGTGCTCATCAAGGAGACAGGGAATCTTGAATGCTGCACTTGGGTGTTGGACAGGGACCTTCGTTGTTGGTCAGGGTGCTGGTGATCATCAATCACAACATAGGTAATGGAACTCCGCTGTGAAGGTGATGGGTGAGTGTTAATTGGGCCAGTTGAAGAGTGCCAACAACGGCGATCAATGAACCCCCTCTCCCACCTTCCCAGTAAATGATGGTCCTTAATGTTGACATTTTTGATTGCAACAGTGCCCTTTGAATGCATGATGAACCTCACACACACCACCCCCTGTTGCCGCCTATTGCCTTACTACATCGTGAGAAATATTGAGATGTGTTCAGCTTGAAGGCTCATCTCTTAGTTCGAAAGCAGAAGAACATGCGGGTCAAGGAATCAAATCAAGAGAAAGGACAACTAGTACTGTAAGTGGAAGCAAATTGCAATTCAGACGGAACTCACCAGAAACAAGGAATCAAATGTGAAGTGAATACAAAAACATATCAAACGGAATCAGAAGGTATGCAAGTTGGATCCTTTTCAAGTTTGTAAGAAAAAAGCGTAGTGGGGTGTGTATATATATATATATAACGTGGGCACAACGGTGTTTCGCAAAGATCCGAACATGTCCAACATACTTAAGAGGGCCTGAGGGCCGTCATTTTGCCGCTTCTTTCGGTGCCCGGTCAGCTTCCCAAAAAAAGAATGTCTCCAAACTGAACACCGCCAGACACAGCCAGAAGGATACAGTCCTTTCATCTCATAATGTCGACGTCGGATTAATCAACCCCCCCTTCAAGGTCAACAAGGTCAACAATTGACAAAGTCTGAGATTGGAGGTATTGGAGGACCACATCCCCCTAATAAAGGTGATGACCTCATGATGGATGATGGGATGAGGACCTGGACCTGATGATGGATGATGGGATTCTGTGGGAAGCATGAGAGTTTGAACCGTGAGACAAGGGTGGATCAGAAGATCAGTTTCACCATGGACCAGAAGATATTGGATACTAGCTAAAAAGAAAAGAAATAATAAAGAATTAATATAGTAAACTATAGATGTGATTTTTTTCTGGGGCAGCTGGGCTTGATTAATATGGGGGGGGTTCTGGACAGGACAAAAATTATTAGGGGGATGCCAAGGTGGAATTCAGGTGTTAAATTAGTTTAGTATTGAGGGCTCGAGCTGGGCTTGATAATATGGGGGGTTCATTAATCCTAGGTGCGCAATATACATGAAGATGATGTTGTTTTCTTTTTCGAGCAAAACCTTTTGGAGCTTCGCCGACCGATTCCGTCTGCTTCACCGCAGCGGCCTCAATGAACCCGCGCAGGTCGCTCGGCATGCTGGTTTCGCTCAACAGCCAAGGCGGTTTTCACCCAGTGTGCTGAAGGTCTTCAGAAGTCTTCATTTGGGGATCGACCCCGTGTCTGGATTTGAACCAATCGTGAATTGTACGAATGTTCGATTTCTACCAGAGTTTCGATCCGGTAAGCAAGGAGTTTTAGATCTTCGAATATCTATGCATCAAGAACTCGGGCGTGTTTCCGAATCAAGAACTTGGCAACACCCATTACGTTGTACGGATGAGTGGTGAAGTGTCCAACAGGGAGTGCCAGAAAGACTATAGTTGCTGACTACCCAAGGGCAAGGGATGGTTGCTTCCGGATAGACCAGATGGAGCCAACACCTCTTGCTGCATCCATCCCTTGCAAGTACAATCATTCTTTGAACCTGCATACGGGTTCATTCTTTGAGACCTGCATACGTGTTCCCCAATGAATACCTGGATGAATGCTGCCAGTACCGTACGTGCCACTACAACATATTATACAGGTTCCCCAAAGAACAGCGTTGATAGTTTGGGGAGGCCCACTTATGTAGGATGTCTTTTCTCACTTGGACCCTCCGGTTCAATGTGCAATGATCAAAACTCGGTTTGTAGGTTTGTTTATGTGCTTCGCCGTTGGTGTGCAAGAATTGTGGAAAACCTGTGCCATTCATTTTTTGCTTATAGCCGTTTTGGTCGAGTGACGTCCCAACCATGGTGAGAAAGCGGCAAAGGGTTCGCTTCGACTTGAGGAGATTTGTGACTTGTGAAGACATGACAATGTTCAATGTCATGAGCGGATGATGAAGCATTTGATGTGTTGAGTTCAGGAGCGAGAAGTGGCAGGCTTTCAGGTTGCAACCCGGCTTCGGAGACAAGAAGTCCTCGTTTCACGCTGAAGAACGCGCGGCGTGGCAATGGCTACTTGGGTACCCTGACAAGCCGGCAAGGGAGGATGTGCCCGTTGAGTTCCACGACTTGTTGCCAACCGAACTTGCACCTGGGATTGAATGTGTGGTGGTGAGACTACTTCTGCTGGGTGCTGTTTGCTCTGCGGTCGCGGGGTGCGTGCGCCGCGCTTTGGCCACATCCCGGTGCTCCCGGGTGCTGTCTGCTCTGCGGTCGCGGGCGGTCGCCCGTCTCAGAATCAACAAGCCAGAAGTGATCGAAGCTGCGCAGAAGGCTGTTGAGAGCCATTCTCAGCCTTAATCCTTTATTTGCCTCAAGGGCGACAAGTGGGCTGTGGTAAGCTGCTTGACAAAGAACCCTACAGCTGTTACAGCTGTGTATGACACTGACAGCAGCCTGCAGACCAGCATGTCCATCAGCACATTTCGGCGGATTCTCAAGAAGCACCTAGTGGAATATCGTGCTCCGCGCACTCTCACAGACTTTTGCCAACGTTGCGCGCATCTGTCAGACGCAGTCCTCCCAGATTGTCAGAAAGCGGTGGCGCATTGGAAAGGCAAGCTCTGCGAGATCATGCCAGCCTATTTTGCAGCATGGGACGTCTACATCTCTGACGCAGAACAAACCATGAAAAGAACAAACCAATTCTGAACTGGAACCTTCTATTTTTGCAATGATTGAACCCCATGCGTGCGACACACCAACACATCCTTCCCTTGTGGGTGCTTTGACCTGAGGAAGAGAGGTTCAGGCTTTCATCAAAATCTCCGCGCTCACCTTAGGCTATACTCATTAGCTACTTGCACCACCGTGAGGCCAAGGACATCCAGCATACAGCCATATCCGAACTTTTGTCTTCTCCGCCGCTGGGCGCTGCGGTTCTTGTGTCGGACTGGAAAGAGTTAGAAACACTTCCCCAATTTTGGAAGCAGACAGGCGATCAATTCTTCCCCCAGGCTCGACACGAGGTTTCTGTCTGGCGTGCACTTCTGATTGAACATGCTGACACGTCCACCATGGAGAAGCCTAAGTTGCGGCAAAAATATTTCATCATCTTGCCCACAAAATTGGATCATACAGCTCTTCAAACAAATCAACCCTTGCGGATTGCTTTGGCAAAGAAAGTGTCTTCGAAGCCGTGGAGCTGCTTGTGCTTGGTCAGTGACTGTGGGCTCCATTATCGCTCACTGGAATCCCTCGCCCATGGGCTGGTTGATCTGCATGTAAAGCACCCAACAATTCCAATGATCCATTTCGGACGCGAGAAACATATGAAAAGTGGGATTGACAGATTTTTTTGGCTTGACAAAGGCCATTCTGAGAAGAATTGTGGCACGCCAAGACATGATAGAGATACCGGATATATCCGGATATGTCGTTGGCCTTGCGGAAAGGGTTCGCCGAAAATCGAGAACGCAACCCTGAAGCCCCAAGTGTTTTGGTTGGGTTGGATGACTCGCCAGTGCCAGCCACCGGCAATATTTTGCAAAAAGCCTTGAAGATTCCCCGAACATATTGCTTGTCTTGTGCCCCTTCGAAACTTCGGCCAGAGCAATCACGTATCTTCAATCATATTGTCAGCACCAAGCCCATGGTCCAAGAAATTGATTATGACATTGTTCCAGGAGATGTGCCAGCAGCATGGAGGAAGGGCTTTTGGAGCACCAGCAAGCAAGCCTGGGCAGAAAAGCCAAAACCTTTTATATCCCCATGACGAAACCACACTCATCCGAAGGTATCTAGCTCAAAAAGAATTGTTGCCGAATGTGATTGAAAGACGATGAAACTTCTGCCAGACTTCGAAGAGCATGCACGGCTTCGACAAAAAAGGCTAGAAAAAAAAACACGTGCCAACACAAGAGGACACCAGACAGCTTCTAGCTCTTCTGGATCCGAATCCCCCGAAAGCTCCAACGGCAGCTATCCGAAGCAAAAGGACCAGCTGATGGGCAGCCATTCCAGGGTCACACCAAGTGTTTTCAGATAGATTGGTTCGGCACTGTGCTTGGCGATGGGGAACCACTCCAGACGTACCGGAGACCGTGCTCTCTCACCGTCCCCAGCGGCTCGGGGACCGCCTCACCACCTTCGCGGTTGCCAGGCTGCCGCGGCACCGCTGGGACCCGGAGGAGACGGAGATGCTTGGCTTGAAGCACAGCACTCACGGTAGAACCAGGGGGGTGTTGGTTTCCAGGATGGAGATAGAGTCAGATAGAGCATGATCGAGCAAGCGTGTCCAGGAACCTCCACTGAACAAAGTGATGCGTTTTTTAAATGAGACACTTGATGTTATATTTTTTGGGTATATAGTTGGACTTACTGGGCAAAAGAAGGTAGATTGGTTCGGGGTTTGGGTGTGACCCAAATGATTGTTCAAGCGCACCTTGGTGCAGACAGACCCAAACCTCATCCGATGCCCGAGATGCACACTTTGGTGGGTGCATCGAATGTAGGTCGAATGGAGATGTCATGTGCTTGGATGCTGGCGGGCAGCTTTGTTTGCCGTTCTACTCCTGTGGCTGTGGGAGTCTCGATCTGTGTGTGTGTGTGCGTCCGTGTTTTTTAGCAATAACCATTAGGCTACAACCAACCTTCTGTTAGCTTTCACATGAAAAGAAAAATACAACGAGTGTCAACACTATACACGGATTCTGCAGAGTTGTTTGTTTGATGTTGTTGTTCTATGTTTAACTTTGTTTAGTGTTACCCGGTTGGCAGCGATGCAATGTTTTCTACAGCAAGAAAGGCAAGTCGTCGTGGAAGTTCCTCCTTTTGGGTCAGGTGACAATGACAGATGCAGCCGGCCGTTTCGGAACTCCTGGCGAACCAATGCCTTCAGACCATTCTTGGCAAAACCTGGTTAATAGATCACCATTTGGGAAGTGAACCGTTGGAGTCTGGTTCGGTATAAAATGGCTGTGAGTCGCTTCGGATGACCGCCGCAGAAGAGATAACTTCAAGGATGTCAACCGAAATAGCCGAAACCATGGTTTGGTGGGGGAGGTTTTTACCCAAAGGTCCTTGTGGGGGAGGCTTTTACCCAAAGGTCCCACAGGTCCTGTAGGTGTTAGTGTTAGTTGTTTGAGTACATATTTGTCACATGGGGAGACACAAGACGCACCCAGATATGGTCATGTTTGCTTTACCCAGCTAGGTTTCTTCTAATGTTCCTATCACTATGTTTTGTGCAGCCTTTGCCGGTAGATGTTTTATCTTGACCCTTTTGGCATCATTCTACAAGGTCTTCTTTGCCCCTTCGAAATCCCATTCAACCTAGAGGGCCTGTCACCAATTCACCCGGCTTTTTGGGGTGAATTGGAGTGAATCCTCAGGGGCAACACCATGGGCAAGAACTTCTTTCTCTCCACCGTCTTCTTGCTGAGTTCGGGGGCCAACAAGGTGCGACCGGCGACACCGTGTCGCCTCGCGTCGCACGACCGGTCCCGGTCACCCTGAGTTCTGAAGCCTGCAGGTGAAGGGAAGACGCTGAATAGTTTGATGATTTGTTTACAACAATTTGGGTATGATTTGGATGTACAGTTTGTTTGTTCTTATATGTTCTTTTTAAACATTTGTTTACACTAGATTTTTTACGTATATATATATATATATCACCTTGGACAGCATCCACAATGCTGCGACGTTTATCGGAAGCCATCGACCGACAGAAATGAATCGGATTTGGAGACGATGAGACTGAAAGACGAGGTCCTTTCCATCAGGGATGAGCAATGCCAGTTTGCTCTCAGCTAACCTGAGGTTCCACGTGAGTTCACCAGATTCTGATGGATGCAAGAAGACATTTGCCAGTGCATGCTGGTTCAAGTTCCATACTTCCAGCAATCAGACTTGTTCCTGGCATCTCAGCTCGATGAACTTCGCAATACGGAGGAAGAGAGGAAAAGAAGCACTTGTCGCCGTTCGGCAGAAGTTGAACCAAGTACTGGCGAACAAGTCTGCACGCCACGAGCTTGAATACTCCTCTCCGGATCAATCAAACGCCATGTGTATGACAGTGCCTCCATGCGTTAATTTCTTCTACTGCAGCACCTGAAGCCGAAACTGGAGCATCGCTTCTTGGCCAGCTAGCACATGCCATTGCATCTAAATCCTTGCTCCGGTTGGCACATGGTATGTACGACTGAGGTGTCCGGAAAAAGGGATGCGCAAGGGGGCCGAAGTGGCGCTGGCTCATGCTGCGGTGTGTTCTGGGCACCTTGCAGTTGCCATCCGTTGCAGAAGTTTTCTCCCTGTGGGGCTCCGCTCAGGTTGGGGTCCTGGGGCCAAACTCAGTATTCCTGCCCGGATGGGCTCCAAACCATATCAGAAGGTAGTCACTGTAAACACAGACACTGTTACTGTGTGGCATATATATATATATTGCACGCATAATGTAGCCCCGCGGGGTCTTGGTCTGACCGACCTCCCTTTGAGAGGCGAAAATCCCAGCATCCCAAAGGTGTCAAAGATGGACTTCACTCTTCAACAAACTACATACAGGCCCTCCATCGCACCTCTTGGATGGATAACACCTGTCTCTCGTAGAGGAATCCTCTAAATGCTTGGCAGGTGCTCCTGCGAATCCTGCTGGTCCTTGTCTCCAAGTACGCCTTTTTGCTAGGCGGGCTTTTTTTCGCCACACCCAAAGCCAGCTTGGCGCCGGAAAAAGAAAACGAAGCAAGAGTCAGAGTCAAAACGACTATAGTCTCTTCCATGTTGAACTCCGTCCCGATCGGAAGCAGGGGTCCCAGGGGTTTTTGGAACGTCGGGGCGACCGGTGAGGGGTCCCACGGTTTTCGTCGAACCAGGACGCCCAGGTCGGACCCATGGGACCCCCCGTGACTCGGAGGATGTGAGGAGTGAAACATAGATGTCCCGTGATAATATTCAAAGAAAGAAAGAGAGAGAGAGAGAGTATGTGTACATATCATACAACATAATGAATATACAAATCTATACAAATCTATATATAGCATTATAGCACGTTGTACTTTGTCCATGTTGCTGCTGTTGTTGTTCTTGTTCTTGTTCTTGCTTTTGCTCTTGCTTGTGTTTTGTTGTTGTTTCCTGTTTCCAGCAGAGATTTCAGACATTTTCAGGTTATGATTATGAATTATAATGCATTATATGCAGTCCAACATCTCACTTCACACTCCCAAACATCAAATTCAATGGTTGTTCTATACAGTTTCTTAACTGATGTTTTTGAAACACATGTTAAACATGTTAAACCCAGTTTGTGATAGTGTGGACAAGTCGATCTACACAAGAGAATATATATATATGAATATATAGTATCTATATATACCTCCATGGTCCATTTGTGTCACTCGCCTCCAGCTCCAAAAAAAACTGTCCTTTGTCTCTTATTCAGCTGCATTTCTTCAAATTGATCCACCAACTGACAGAGACTTGGAGATGGAAGCTGTAGACGGAGCCTGGCAGACATGAGCGACTTGCTCTGCGGGAAGACATGCGCGCTCGGCACATCGGTCGACCGCTCGCGACTGAGCCGATTTCCGATGCGCCACCACGAATCGTTATGTCCAGTTGAACAAGAAGCGAACGTAGAAACAAGTGCCTTACTACTAGTAAGAAGTGCATCGCTTCTAGTAACAAGTGCCTTACTGGTAGTAACAAGAAGCTAGTAGAAACAATAATAGTTTGGCGTGAACATCTTCCGACCCTTCTCCGCAGCCCAGGGGGCTGGTGAGCTTCCAGATGTTTGCAAAACGCTGCCAGTGCACTCACCCTTGTTCTATCACCGGGTCACAAAAATGCATGTTTGGGGGAGGTGTACCTTACCTGGTCAAAAAATATACAATATTATACATGTCCTGGTCTTCAGAGGTCATTCCTGGTCTCCAGATGTAATTTTTTGCTTGGAAGTTGTAAGTTTTCATGATACGATGATTATGGATTATGGATTGTGCATGTCCTCATACATTTTGCGCAATGTTTGTTGACCCAGTCCCCCCTGTTCATACAATGCCCGCAAATGCCCAAGACATGTAGATGTGCATAAGTGAGTGCGTCCCCCGTATGCATACAATTGGGGCGTTGATCGTCCCCACCTTTCAGACATCCCAAAACCGGTGTTTCCAGAAACACAGAGGATACAAGAAACATATATATATATATTATTTTTTTTTTGATACGTCCTTTTTCTCCTATGTTCAACCCTTTGATGGAAAAAGCCTTTCAACACCTGTCCCCCAACCTGCACATATATATATATAAGAAGAAATGTATACTCTGACCCCCTCTCTCTTTAGAGCTAGAACCTGTGATCTTGTTCTCCATGCTAAAAGGCTCTTGATATGAAGAGGAAGAGGTTTTACAATCCAAATGGGTGGTTCTATTCCTCAAGAGTCTACATCAAACCCCATGTCCATGGCCCTAGAGTTGATGGCAGCACCTATGACTCCTGGAGTGACTCGTCACAAAGGGTCGAGTCCTTTTGCTTCACGTTCCGTTGGGGCCCCCGATGACCTTCCGGCGTTAGCCGACTGCAGGTGTGGTGACCAACTGTGTATACATCAGCGTCTTCTACCTCCAGTTTAGAGCCCGGGCCTAAGGGCCTTGGGACCCCTGAGAAAACCCTTCGACCCATGAGAAGGAGTGGGAGTGGCGGATGCAGATCTCAAGCCAAAGGTGTATGTTGGGTCAAGCGCAAAAGCACTGGTTTTGATCCGCCCCTGAACCGTCAAAGGTTCAATTTCGACCAACACAACTCAGCGACCTTCCAAAGGTCCTAGTAATATTGAAGAAACGCAGCCAACCCACTTCTGAGATGTTTGTGCTCGAACACATGATGCATACTGAATGATTCTATCTAAGTTCATTACATTGATGACTCTTATCTATGTTCTTTTCCGAAGGGTCGAGAGATTTGCATGTTTGCCCCCCAGAAATCCACAGAAACATATCATCACCAATGTCGTCCAAAAAGGAGGATGGGACCCAAATAGAACCAAGCTGACCCTTTGCGGCAAAGGAGAGTTTTCCACGTATATGACTTATAATGCCCATCATGTTGAAACACTGTTGTAGATCCAGTTGGCTGCTTGTCTGAGGTTTCATGGTTCCAGCATCAATGGTCATATATCGACCTGGACCCTGGCTCCTCATCTATCAGAGGTGATTCCCCTTGTCAGAAAGCTTGAGCCGTCCACAAGACACTGCAAATGGGATCGGTGGGCGTCCTTTAGGGGAGCTTCCCCTAGGCAGTTGGCCAAGATGTTTCTTTTGTTTTTCAACCGGGCCCGGGCCCACAGTTCGAAGGTGTTGTCTTTTGGGGGTGTTCAACGGCCCGGGCCGGCCCGGTGCTCTCTCCGCTCGTTTCGTCCGCTCAGTTGTCACTCGCGGCAGCGGGAGGCCGGTGGGAAGCGTTTGGGGAAGATCTGGCAGCTGAGATGAGGAGGTTGAAATGAAAAATGCCAACTGGACATGGGAAAACAAGTTTGTCTCATCTGTTCTCCATGTCCAATTTGCACTTAAATTTTGTTCCACTCAACTTGGGCTTGGTGTCCCAGAAACCGGGAGGCGGTTCTTTGGGTTCCCCACAGCACAGGTCTAAACATACATAAACATACAGATTACGGCACTCCAAGCTTTGACTTCACGAAAGAGGATTTACAAATGTGTACGTCCAGTTCCAATTGTGGTTCTTTTCTGCTGTCACTGCGCAGTACGAGCATCACTGTGCTTGCCACAATGTTGAAGGTAGTTACTAGACAAAGCGTACTGAGCGTTCCTGTCCATTCAGGGAATCGATTTGCTGTACTTGCTCCAGCAAGCAACACAAATGTCCACAAAGCATCACACGGGCGCTTCAATGAGAACCTTCTTCAGGATGTCCTCCATTCCAAGCGTTTGGAGGTGGCAAAGGTTTTATGGCAGTGTTCCACTGGTGCTAGTCTTCTCGAAGCTCGGTGCACGTGACAAGATGCAGAAAATGCATGAGGACGAGGGAGCATGTGATTGAGGTGGAAGGGAGGGAGCCTCACCCCAACGATCAGTCCTTTCTTGCAGCATTACAAGGCTGCAGCTTCCCATCATACAATTGTTTGCAGCAGGAAGTACCCCTTTGGTGGCTGAAGCATGCTGAAGCAAGCTTTCGTGATTTGAGCTGAAGTCTTGCCTTCGAAGGGGCCCAGCAGCCCTGAAACACACGTTGGAGACCAACGTTCCCAACATCTTCGACCTTGCCGCTTGTGACCATGCTTTGGGATCTCTGAGAGTTTGAGTTGGAAGGTTCCTTCATGTTTCTTCCTTTCTACCTTCATTGTTTGCCCCACCGTCAAGGACTGGTCGAAATTGGTCGCTCTCTTGCTCCTATATTCGCGACTTGTGAAGAAACAACTTGGTCACTCCGCCAGCGGAATTCCAAGGTGGCGAACATGCACCAATTGATGCGGAGAAAAGCGCCTCCCATGAGAAAATGGTTTCTTTGTTGCAGTCACCTTGAAAGAAGGTCGGTGGGTTTTTGACTGATGCAGCTGCATTGTGTTTCCTGCTCCTCCTCGATGTTGTTCTCCTTTGGTTTTGTTGAGGTGGATCGTTTCGCTTAGGGTCGTTTTGCCGGATGGCTTCAGTGCTTGTGCTGGTGGTGCTTGTTTGGCTTCACGATGCTTCACGTCAGATTCGTTTGACGTCAGAGGCGCCACAGCTGATTTGTTTTTTGGGCGGTGAAGATGCGGTTTTCTCATTTTCTCTCTCGCTGCCATATTCAACACAATCCCTCGAACACTTGGTGTTCCTTACTGTGGCTCGTTTGTTGGTTCATTGTGAATTTCAGGGATCAAAGAGACGCGTTTCTCACCTTCACATCCTTGTGAATCTGCAGTGCGGCGATTCAAGACCACATGCAAAAAGGACAGGCCACAAGTCCATGAACGACTGCCTCTCTGGGCGCGAGCTCCACAAAGCCACACCTTCAGCTGCTTGCGGAGAGCGACCTCAAAGATGGCAGCACGTGACCTCAAAACAGCTGCCAAAGCTGAAGGTCAGGGAAGAATGCGACTCCCAGTTCGGGCAATAATTGGCCAAGAAGTGCACAAGATGATTCCGAATTTTGTGGCTTTGCAGCCTTTCAGGCTGAAAAGCCATGAAAAGCTCATACGTGACAAAATTCTGAGTAAAAAACATGGGAATACCAGTAATGCACAGAGAAGGGAACACACTGCCAAAGAATATCGGCCATCACATGCCATCACATAATACATGAGAAATTAATAATGTTGGGGTCAAGTCCATGTACCATTCTGCTTCTCACTGCAGCAAATAGCTTCATGTACTTCATGGATGCTGATTCGAGCCCAGATATTTCATTGCGATAGGACATGATAGCACATACCCATACCAAGACCAGATTGTCAATGTTGAACCATCCCACTGAACGATGAGAACAGAACATACCAGCCCGAGCACCGCGTTTTCCGCGAATTGGAGCACCGTGCTTTTCCGCGTTGCCAGCCTCGGATGACGAGAGCCGGGCCGACTCCTTCCGCTTCGCGTTGAACGGCCGCGGCCTGCGGCTGTTGGCAGGCGGGGAGAGGGAGTCGGGCACCGGGTCGTTGCCCACGTTCGCTTCACGTGCAGGTCGTGAAGCCGAACAGATTGGATGACTGGCTCACTGGGTGAAGTAAGGGTGGGAGTGGTTGTGGGTAATTACTCATTCATTCTGTGTAGATAGTGTATCCGATCTCCGTAGACTCCGTAGAGGATCACCTGGATGCAGAGAAGATGGCTATGCAGAAGAAGATTGGATCGTGAAAAACGACCAAAGCAGGTCTTCTCAAGGAAGTTCACTTTATGTGTTACGTGTTTGTATATTAAATGATACAAACTGGAGCATGCGGCATGCTCATATAGAGGAATATAAGCAAAGGTAACCACAAAATGCCCTGCTCTTGACTTCATCCTCGGGTGCTGAACATGCGTAAGTTGAGTACTAAGAAAGGTACTTCTGATGGACATGCTGCCCATCGAAAGCTGCGGGGTGCGGTCGTTCTGATCCAACATCCAGATGTCCATCTCTGTTGGTTGTTCTTCAGATGGTTTACTCTGAAAAAATTATATGTGGGTAAAATATGCTCAAGAACTTACAGCAGGTTCCAGCAATTCAAGAAGTGCCAAGAGAACAAGTGATGCATCGTGGCATTCCTTGGATCTCTTGGACAGGACCCGTGGCACGATGTTCCACAAGAGACCACTGTTCAGTGGATTCCAAAGACCCCGAACGGCACGTCCCGGTCTTTTTTCTAGGGCCCGTCTCAGAGCCCTGGATGGTGGTTTCAGAGATTTCATGATATGTCTATTTTACTTCCTTTACTTGTGATGATTTTTCATCCATTGACTATTATTTGTTCAAGTGAGTTTGTTTCAATCCACCAACCCAGGGGTTTGATACGCCCAGCCGATTCTGCTCGCAGCCGTTTGAGCTGAGCCAAGTGACAGCTTCGCAGCATGTGTCGCTTGCACAGCGGATGGTGTTGTAATGCAGGCGCTGTTTGCGGGGTGGCGCGGATGGTGTCATGATGCATTGCTTGGCAGACATGCGGATAAGTCAAGGACTGTGACATGTGACTAGAGTTTTAAGTTTGCCAATCTCCATGTCCTTCCGAATTGAATGAAGTATACTGTATACTTATTCGTGCGGCTAATCGATATATCTATATATATAATGTTTATTTTTTGTAATTATATGTATATATGTCCCACATCAGTCTAGTTCATCAGAGGCATACCCTCACCACTGGTCCGTTTCTGGTGTGTGTTCAGCGGAACCGTGCTTGGAAAACGCAAGGGGCTTTTTGGCCGTGCTGTTCAAGATTGCAGTAATGCCTTGTCAAGATACCACCTCTGAAAAAGAGGGAGACTAATCTCCCATTTGGTGTCAGAGATCATTCTAGTGAGTTTCCTTCCCTACAATACTGTATCTATATGTATCTATAACAATACTGCTACCAAAAATTACTATATATATATACGTTCTATTTTTAACATAATATGTATGTATAATATAGATGCGTGTGATTTGAATCATTATCATTCTAACAGTGGTGCACATCTCCAAGATCCAACATCGAACCACACCTGGAGATCTAAACAGAACACCCAGTTAATGAGGCTTTTCGCCCCAAAACCATGGAAACCGGTAGAGTTTTGATCAAACAGCTTACAGAGCTGGGATTTCGTTGCAGTGTTTTGTGATGTGTTCGATTTCCAGCTTTGGATGCAACCTCATAAAATGGAACCTGCAACCTTTCAACGGAGCCTACGAGCAATTGAGCCCGCGGTCAGATATCATGGTCCGATGATGGAATCTGACCAACTCTGATGCGGGGTAAGACTTGTTCACACAAAGGCATTGAAGGCATCATGAAGATTTTCCAAATACCTAGAGAACCAAGAACCCCAAAAACAGGTCATACCCTGAAAATACACGAGGTTTTTTCAACTTTCTGGGTTTCATAGGTAGAGTATTGCAATGTATTGCAGTTTAACATGTTCCGTGTGTTCAAGTCACGGGACTCTACGGTATTTCGACCCACTCCTTGTATTCTCCGGCCAGCATGCATACATATATATATATATAATATACTGTTTTTCCGTATAAGCTTCTTGCTCCTAGTAGCTTCTTGCTTTTGGTAGTAAGGCCAGGAGCCCCTAGTAGCGTGCTCCTAGTAGCGATGCCCTTTGTTCCTAGTAGCCCACATGTTCCCACAGGACCCTGGGTGAGGAATCCCAAGGAACATTTCGCACAGGACCCTGGGTGGCAGGGTGGGACCTTACGCACGTCTTGCCTTGTATCAACCGCTCAAAATGAGGCCGGAGGCTCGACACCAGCCGCTGGAGGCTCGACACCAGTCGCTGAAGGCTCGACACCAGTCGCTGAAGGCTCTACAACAGTCGCTAGCACAGCCACGGCTGACGAGTTGCATGCGACAGGCAACTGCAACCCGTGTGTGTGTTTTTCTTTTCAAGCGACTTGGAATTAAATGGCCTTGGCTATTTCTAAAAGCCTTCCTTTGGGGAATCACGGTTTTGATTCTTTGACCTGAGTCAATTCCATGCTGCGCCGTTGCTTGGGGCCAGTGTTCATTTCGGTCGCAACTCGGCCACCGCCACATCAGGTGCTGGAGAAAACACCCAAATCGTACCACCGCACCAACTTTGTGCTCTTTTTCTGCACTCTCCACTCTCCTTCGCCCACACCACACTCCTTCCTTCGTTCAAAACGGCCATGGTCACCACCCACCGAGGCTATGGCTGCGGCCGGGGCAACAGTTGCGAGTACTGTCACCAGCCGCACGACGCGAACGCGACGACGGCCGTCCGACCACGAGAGGACCGGCGCCGGAGGACCGCCGGTCCGGTTGGCGGGTACCGGAGCGGAGGACCGAAGATAGTTGTTGGTGTAGACATTTGACATTAAAATATAACTATACCCTAGGGTATATATACATTGTTTATTATGTTTACACTTATATACCGAATTATATATATAAGTGTGCATGAATGAGTCTACTATGAACAATTGGACATCAGGAGAAGGGGGTGAAAACATGTTAGAGCAGAGCTTCACGCACAATTCAATTTGACTTCTACGCAGATCTCAGCGGTCTCACTATGTATCTACATGCAAGAATTAGAATACCATATATAGCCAAACTAAATGTTTGCCTATTATTGTGGTTCGTGAACAATTTGAGTGTTACTGTTCTTGTACCAAAAGGAACGCATTTGATATAAGAATATCCCGGCCCAAAATCAATTCCCTCACATGAACACCAGTCACCAAGCTTATTGAAGTGTGTTTTTTTGTGTGGTCGAGACTGTTGGACGACTTGTTTTTCCCTAAACCGCATCGGATGAAGCGTCCCTCGCTAGGATGAAGACGCAGATCGAGGACATCTTGAACTTGCACGAAGACCCCTGGCGATCCGGGCTGTGGAGCGATCTGAGTTGGCGACTGGTTGATCCGGTGGTGACGCGGTGGTAACCCGGTGACCCATGGAACAGAATGGACTAGCAGACATGGTCAACCAGTGTTTGGGAGCTCCGGGTTTTGACTCAGACCCATGCGGTGAAATCAGTGAGATCCAATGCCAATCTATCGGGATAGGGTGGCTTGCAAGGACGTCATTTCATTCACGATTCGGACACGAGTGTTGATCAGGCAATGTGTCGCATGTTGCATTCTTGTTCTTATTTCCCCCTCCCCTCCCTCCATTTGATCCACTCTTTTTGGGACTCCCATTTTCTGTTTGGTCTCTGCAGTTCAAGCCCTCCTCACAGCACCCTCATGTCCCCGCTCTTGTTCAGGACCCCAGCGAAGTACAGGAGGCTCTTCAACGGGAGGCTGCAAGGCATCCCTTCGTGCGAAAGCTCATTATGAAGCGGTTGAGTGAAATCGAGCAACAAGTGGGCCCAGTGAATCTCGCTGGGGTGATCTTTTCTGTGTGACATCTCTGGTGTCACGAGAGAGAGGCCGATTTTCAGAGAGGCAGATCGGTCGGGAAAGCTGCAGCGTTTGGTTTGACACCGTCTCACGTGACCGTCTCACGTTCTCAAGGGATTCCCTGACAGGGGCACCAAGAACATAGAGAAGACTTGGTGCGAACACTCCGTTTCACTCGTGGAACTCCATTGATGAAGTTCCTCGCGTTCACTCGCTGGTGGAAGATGTTGTTCAAAGTGCTCTACGGCAAGGAGGGTGTGACTTTTGGTCATGTCTTTTCCCTTACTGGTCACAGGCGAGTTGAGTAGTATACCAGGTATACCGCAGCAACAGACTGCTTCCATTTTGCAGGCTTTTCAGACGCGTTTGCAGGCCAAGCGATTCTCGGTCTCAGGTTTCTGTCTGAAGGAGTTTGTTAATGGACCTCCATGGCGTTTGTTCCGAACAATTTCACTGGAAGGCGCTTGACTCAATTGTCCAAATGCCAGACGGGTGGATCCAAGAAGAAGAGTTTGTATGAGTTATTTGTCGTGAGACCGTAAGACTTATCATTTGCTTTGCTTTTCCAGCGTGCTTTGGACAAGTGAGCTTTACAATGCAAGTCCTGGGTTTGAGTGATTCCATTTTCGTATGGTTTGCGTTTGCGTGGATGATCCTCGCAACCATTTGTGTCGGATGGCCACGAAGACGGGGATGAGTTGGGCCGAGCAGGGCCTCTCCCAATTCACCAACCTTGAGGAGTTTGGGTTGACAAGGTGAGCACTTCATCTTGGGCGATTCCAAAAGCGGCTTGTGGCCATCGTGTGTTTCAAAAGCGGTTCCAAGGGATGCAGGCGATCGATGTTGGGGTGGATTCTTCCAATGACAGTCTTTGGCCTGATATTGGATGCCCATGCCTGGAGGTTGGAAGCCACGTTTGGGAGACGTCTCGAAATGCGATTGATGTGGCTGCAATTCAGTCCAGCTGCATATGTCCCCATTATCCGGGATCCAGTTGCCACCTGCAGCAGAAAGCAGTGCCACTCTAGTATAGGCCTTACGGTAAGCCATGGGAGTGCCACTCACTTTTTCCATCATGAAAGCTGTGTTTCTTCGTGGTTTCCTCGGATGTTGTGGATGTTGTCATGTTAGGTCGGTTGGGAGGCCACGTTTGGACATCGCCCTTGGTGGCAGAGCAGCGGAGATTCCGTGGCCACGAGCAGAGTTCGAAGTGCAGAATTCTTCGTTCACCACAAAGCTGAGTTCTGCACAGGTGAGGTCGATGGACACGAGTGCTGGACGGCTTCTACCAATGTATATTATGTATATGTATGTCTTAATTGTTATTTATGATTATGTTACATAATGTCATATATACATAATCTACAAGCTTATAAGCACAAAACATATGTGGCTCATGACTCAACCGAACACACAGAAAAGGACTGGCTATAGACATGTGTAACATGTTGTGTTGGATGTCGATTCTAGGTTCCCGTACTTGTACTGTACGTCAAAGCGCAATGGCCTGGATTTTTTCTGGGTTTTTGGGTCCTGTGATGTCCATTGTTTGTTTTTCTTGTTTTAATAGGATGTAATAGTATGTGATCGACAAAGACAGTTCACTGAAGGCCTAACGCTCATTGTTTTCGGATCACTAGCATGTTTGTCAAATCTATCATCCTCTAGGTTGCTGCCTTCCCAAGTTGTGGTGCATGTCCATGCATTTCCCACAACAAGAACAGGCCATTGCGGGTGTGGGTGCAACTAGCAGTTAGCTATTTAGAAAATAATTTTTGAGTTTTGAGGAAGTCCGTCCGAGATACCTACGAGCCGAGTCGACCTTGAGCGGTGCTTTGGCCCAAAAGCTCGGAGACACCTGGGTCATGGTGGGGGGGGGGTAGAGGACGCTACTAGTAACAAAGGGCATCGCTACTAGGAACAAGGACGCTACGTTCGGGGCTCCTGGCATCGCAAGGAACAAGGACGCTACAGTACTACAAACGGAGCTTTTAACGGAGCCACCATGACCATTGACCAGGAGCCACGGTCGGGATATTGAATGAACACCCCCCAAAACCCCCTGACCCGCGGGTGACACCCCAAGCCAGGGGGTTTGGTGACTTGGCAAGGCCAACGTTGGGCGTTTGGCGTTTCAGGTTTTTTTCACCGTTCCAACCGACCCAAACCGGAATCCCGGTCAGGTCCGTGACGGGTCCGTGACGGGGCCACTTGTTGTGGTCGTACTCTGATGCCATGTATGTTTGCGCAGAATGCAATCGTTTGGGGTTACAGTGTCAACGGGATTTCTTGGATGGAAGCCAATATATGTTGCCTATTCCACGGAGTATAGGGCCAAAATGATTTGAAGGGGGGTTCGGCATGATAAATTCACATTATGGACCACATCGAAGTATGGACCGTCCACAGTCTTCGACACAAGCCTTTCGAAGTCTCCCATGTTCCAAATGGGATCTTCCACCACAGCCATCCAAAACTGAAAGGACTTTAAGAATCTCTAAGACTCTAAGGTACGAAAGCAAGCAACCTTCCAGCAACCTTTCAAAGGAAGCCTTCCACCAATCACCGCTCCAATCGCAATCGCAAAGAAACGCATCCGCCGCGACGTGGTCGGCATCGCGTAGGCGCTGGCACCTGCGAAGCGGTGGCCTTCGTGCTACTGCCCTTGTTCGCCTCCATGTTGCCGGGTTCGCTCCTCCCTGTCGCCCGGCGATCCGACGGGTTGGCCGGACTGGATCTTGGAGGAAGAGTACGGAGGGGGAGGGAAAGGAAGAACACGGCTTTTCTGGTTTCAGGCACAGGTCGGTTTTGGGGATGTTTTGGGGTTGGGCAATATCTTTCGCACTTCGATGGTATGCACATGTATGGACCTTCTTTCTCTTTCCCGAAAGGGGAGCGCCGTTCGTTGGATCTAGTCAGCTCGAGCTCGCATGGCCACGGACCTTTCGGGAGTTGGGGAGCGAGGTGTTCGTTTGGAAAGCTTCCTTTTTGGAGCAATTGGTTACCAGGGTCTGCACTTTTGGATCTTTTGGGCCCCAGGTGTGGTCCCTACGGTGGGTGGGCGGAAGAAATCCTGCACCACTTTGATACAGCCCTCATCCAAAGCTGACAGACCACCAGCCCCGCACCCCTATTCAATATTTCAATGCTGTCATGTCATGCAGGATGGTGGTGCAGGATTTCCGTCAATGGCACCTTTGCAGCTTGTGATACCAAAAGGAGCAATGTTAAAAAGGGAGCACGAGGGTATAAAGAAACATCTGTATGAAGGTGGCGCAGGATTTCTTCCGTCAACAGTAAGGCTTTTTGGGGTCAGTGTAGGTAGAATGCAGATGCACACTGGCATGGCAGACTTCTTCATGTTCAGCGTGTCAGGTACATTAAGCGCATGCAGTAGCATTAAGGCATTGCAATTACGACCGCGCGGCAAGACCGTGCTGCAAAGCAAGCTGAGCAAAGCAGCGCTTGCACTTAGGAATGCGCTGGCCATGCCCTTGGTGTTGAAGATGTTGGCGGAAGCCATACACTTTCGGGCGTCTCAGGAGCATCGTGTGCTCTGACGGGCTTCCCCGCATGACGGCCACATGGGCCTTCTCCTGCACTGGTGCCAACTCCTTCTCTTTGCAAGTTACAAAGACGGGCAGTCCCACGTAGAGAATGTGTCCGCTGTATGTGGACGAGTTCTGCACACGTGTGAGGGGAAAGGGCCTGCCTTCGTACCAGAGCAGTTGCGTTGTCAAAGGCAGCACATCTGCATCAGTGCACCAATCATCCAGCAAAGCCACCTTCTTCTTCTCCAAGCCGAGGAGAGGGAAGTTTCCTGGCAAAGGTGGTGCGCAAAGGGCCAAGCCAAAATGACTTCCCCTCACCACCAAGCGGCCCATGAGCACCAGCACTGGCACAGTCTCACAGCGGCCATGCTTGAGTAGCCCGTAGATGTCAACACAGAAGGAAGGCAAAATCAATGCCATTGATGAAGAGGATCTGTGTGGCAATGCGTCACCAATGCCCATGGCAAACACGAGGTGATACAGCTGCATCCTCAAGGGTCTCCAGCCGTGTCTTGCCGGGCCAAATAGTCATCTACTGGCTCCCACTGCCACATCATCCACCAGGCTGGGAAGGCGATCGCCCGGTTTTGGAAGGCGAACGCCATCATCGCCAGAACACCATTGTCTCGCCAGCCGGCTCTCCTCATTCATCTTCTTCCACCCACAAGGCGGCATGACAGAGGCACGGTTATACAGGCACCCAGACAGAGCTTTCTTGAGCTGCAAGATAGCATTGAACGAGTGCGCAGATGAGACTTACAGGACGTTTTAGACGAATGTGGTAAGTAGCACAAACTGCTGAGTTCTCCTCGGTGGGCGGAAGAAATCCTGCACCACTTTGATACAGCCCTCATCCAAAGCTGACAGACCACCAGCCCGGCACCCCTATTCAATATTTCAATGTTGTCATGTCATGCAAGATGGTTTTCCGTCAATGGCACCTTTGCAGCTTGTGATACCAAAAGGAGCAATGTTAAAAAGGGAGCGCGAGGGTATAAAGAGACATCTGTGTGAAGGTGGTGCGGGATTTCTTCCGTCAACAGTAGGACCCTCCAAACCTGCATAAAAGTGTCTCCGGTCCAATCACCTTTTCAGGGGGGACGGAGAATCCAAGTCCACATTGCGACACGGGGTTTTCGTCCTGCCAATGTTTGAGCCAACTTTCAGGTGAATCACAAAGACGCAGAATCTCACATGGCCATTCCTAACATCATGACATCTTCCTGGCTGTACTCCATGTCACGAGTACCAGTGGTACTTTGCTCTCAGGTCATGTCCCAGGGCTTGTTGATCTTCAGCATGATCTTCAGTTTTCTGTTTCTGGGACGGCGTTATGATCTCCTCCAGGCGCGGATTTGGAGGGAGGTAGAGCCATGGTGGTGGTTGAGCCTGTCCAGTCAGGAGATCCTGCTTTCTCAAATGATCTCGAATCTTGTGTTTGTTTTCCAATTTGAATACTAACTTGCATGTTTTTGTCGAAAAGATGTGCGAGGATTGGACACAAGATGACACAAGCTTGAAGCCCCCTTCCCCCAGTTCCTCAACACGTAAAACCGGTGGTTTCTTTCGAAAGACAAGGACCAGGAGTGGCACTATGCTTTTTGGGGGGTCCCTAGGATCCGAATCTTCGGCTGCGACCTTTTTCAGCTTTTTAGGAGTGGTTTGAAATTCTGTACGAAAAAGGGTGACATGTAAGGTTTGTATACGTTTCATATCCTTTCATTAGGGAAAAACGGATAACGATCCCCATCCAAACCCTCCCAAAAGTAATTCAGGACACAAACTGTTCTTAGTACTTGTCCAATTTGCACACATTTTGACCCAATTGAGCCATGTCAGCCACCTACTTGTGTCAGTACTCAGCACCATCAGTTCACATCGAAGTCTTGGAACGTTTTGGTTAAATCAGAGATTCTTAGAATTTCTGACAAGTGACAGACAATCGCTGCGACAACGTCGCCCATCCGAAAAAGACGCAGCCCTTTTTGGCTTAGCAGGAATGATTATTTGTTTTGTTGTCTTGTTCGATCTCAAAAATAGGCTTTGCGAGCAGGCATGAAAGCCGCTCCAGATTTTCTCGTATGTACAAATCCACACTCTTCGGGTCGTACAGGTTGGAAATTTGCAGCAATCAGCAACTCTACACGAACCCGCAGAAGTCTACTGCGCAGTCTTCAAGATAAACCGTTAAATCAGAATCTGTCAGGATAAACGTCTGATTATAAATCAACTGACAGCACCGAGAACGCCCTGCAAGTTTGGGCTGGCCGATGATCAGTTTCGACCGCTCTTTCTTTCCACAGCCCATTCCAATGTAGATATCACCCGTGGAATTGTCTGCCACCAGTGCAGACAACACAGACTGGGGACTTGATCTGACTTGATCTGTAACCTGCATGGCCATTGACATTCAACCACGTGTCTTGGGAGACACCTACAACACCCAGTTACAACACCCGACCGTTGGGTATGTTATGGTATATTTATTGTTCAAAGATGACCCCCAATAGCACCGAGCGACCCGCAACCCCACACCTCCCCACCTTTGAAAGTCACCTGTTTTCATCTGTCTAAGATCATCTAAGATCTACCTTCGTCACCACTGGAGAATGGTTTCCAACATACCAGTTGTGTCCATCACAGTTGTTGTACCTTCGCCATGATCGTGAAAACAAACGTGCCACACACTGGGTCCTCCGTACATCACCGTGCCGTACATCACCGTGCCGCCCTCCGGGACACCGGGCGCCCCTCTTCGGTACATGTCGAAGAATGGTGACTACGCTGCCTTGGCGGCCGGGAGGGTTTCGGAAAGTGTCGGCGGCGGTGCGGAAGGTAAGCGGTAAGAGATTTAAAGACCCTGCAAGATCATTGCCCATGTTTTTTCTTTTCTCCTTTCTGGTGTGTGTTTTTCGTTTGGGCAGGGAGACCACTAAAGATGTGTTTGATGTGTTTGTTTGGTTTGCGGCGGTTTGTGTGTGTTCTTTCTTCAAGCGATGGTTGAAATAGTGACAGTCTATTTTACACGGCAAGGTCGGTTGGTTGGTTGTTTGCTTCCGGCCAATGCAGAGTTTGATGGGGGAGCTTGTGGCGCTTCCAAAGGTCTCCCTATTTTGAGAGAAGCCCAAATGGACACATGTTTTCAGGTAATCCCCCTTTGGGCTTTTGAGAATGATAGTTGATAGATCTTGCTAGCATCCCTAATTAGGCCCTAATCAACCATGATCAGCCCTTGCATATCGTTACATCTCCTGGCACTTGTGTTCACCCCTTTTTTTGGAATTGACATGTCCCACTCAAAAATCATGTCATTGCAAACCCTGATATATTGGCCCTGCCCCCCCACAGTAACAGTCGTAAAGGGTCAGGGCCCTTAAACCATACCCCCAAAGACCACAATCATATTCAATGTCATTTGGGGAAATTGGATTGCAATTTCTGGCCTAGGAAATGCAAATGATTGGATCACTGGGCGGGTTCTGGTCTAGGAAATGCAAAATGATTGGTTCAGTGGGCGGGCTAACTCTAAAGAACACAAATCTGAACATATTTGCAGACCAAAAACAACCAACATCATCCCTTCACTAATTTGTCAACCTCAAGTGGCAATTCAAAGAATGATTGACCCTACAAGATTAATCTTTTGTTCATGCTCTCACAGCAGGATGAGAGCCAAGTCCAAATTGGCTTTGGCTCCCCGCTCCCCACCCCCTGGCTCCCGGCCCCCCACCCATCGCTCCCGGCTCCCCACCCCATATGTTCAAAAAACTTGTCCAAATTCCTGTGGTTGTTTGGTGCTTTTTGTGTGGTTTGATTTGTGGTCGTCTTCCGCCCTGGACCACAAATCATACCACAAAAAACACAAGTCATACCACCAAGCAAACAACACAAACGCGACCACAAATCATACCACACAAAAAAAACAAAAGAAAACACAAGTCATACCACAAAAACGCACAATCGCGACCACAAATCATACCACAAAAAACACAAGCCATACCACAAAGAAAACACAAACGTGACCACAAATCATACCACCAAAAAACACACAAAAAAAAAAACAAAAGGCAAACCAAAAAAAAACACAAACAAAACACACACAAGTCATACCACCAAAAAAGACAACCGCGAAAAACACAAACGTGACCACAAATCATACCACCAAAAACACACAAACAAAACACACACAAATCATACCACAAAAAACACAATTCATACCACACAAAACACCAAAAAAAACACCACAACTCATACCACAACAAAAATAGAACAACACCAAATTTTGGGCAGTTTTGTGGTCAGTTTTGTGTTTTGTGTGTTTTTTTTTTTGTGGTTGTGTTCCTTTTCATGTTCCTTTAAAAAAGAGCGGGCCCCCAGTTTTCTTGTGTTTTATAAGGCAGGCTCCGCCCTGGGCCTGGTTCGATCATTTTGCGAGTGGATGCGCTCAGATGAAAATGGGCACCCGATTCACTTGAGGGGTTTGTGGTACATGACTATTGTAGCCAGTGTTAAAAAGGTAAATGAAAGTCATCCTAATGCAAACTATGGCTAAACTGCAGTGTTTTCGTTTTTTTTCTGGTATGATTTGTGGTCACTGTTACTGTGCCATTGCAAAGCAATATATATATTGCAAAGCGTTGGATGCGCACACCCACTAAACGAGGTCTCGACTCGTCTCGACTCCCCGCTCCGCAGGTCCGGGACCTGCACAGGGTTTGGACCGCCGATGCGTCGCCGTCGCGGTGCCCAGCGGGGAAACATGGGGCGAGGGGGAAAAGAACGGGGGAAAAGACAGGGAGGAAGAAGTTAGGGTTAGGGTAAGGGAATTTGATATAGCCACGGGGGAAAAGACAGGTTAGGGTTATATAGGGTTTAGGGTTTAGGGATGAGGACTAAGAGATGGAGATATCATCCGGTTCCAGGTTAATGTTAGAGTGTTGTTGGGTGCTGGCTGAGAATCAAGGAATCGGATCGGCGAGTCATTATGGAAAGATTTGTTTGAGCCTCCTATGTCTTTGCATTTGGCATCCTTCAAGGTCAATAGAAAAGCATCTTCATCTGTAGAAGTAATACTTGCTTCTGAAACAGCCATGCAAACTGAAGATATGGGCTCCGACGATCTGCAGGAGACTTGATCTGCAGGAGTATTGCTCGTGTCTCCATACCACAACCACGTGAATTCTTCAACCTCCTGACCTTTCCCATGAAGGAGCTCACGGGAGCGGCATCATCCAACCTGGTCCGCGTCTTCGGCACCATCCGCAACTTCAAGGGAGAGATCGTCTGAGCTCAGCAGGAGCTACAAATGGGTTTGCGAACGTAGCGCGACTTGCAGTATCTTCCCGCTCGCTTTGGTCTCAAGGCTGATGACCCCCAAGGAAACGACCATCCAAATTGTCATCATCAAAAACTCCCGGGAGGAGACCACTATCCTGAAACAATTGTCCTTTCCTGAAGAGGTCAGGGCCATCTTCTTCAAACAGCTCCTCTACGGTGAGGATATGCACAACTTTGCCTTGCAAGAGTATGAGGTCATTGTGTAGAACATCGGTACTGGTGATGTTTGTGTTTCTTCCGACAAACGATTGCCAAGTGGCTGTCATACTCGAGTTGGCTTTGGTAAGGTAGTCACCGTGCAGTCTGCAAACCTAAACTGGAATTTCAAAAAAAAAGAGAGAGAAACAAACAACATTTCTGCGCAGGCCATGGGGGAAGATGAGGTGAGACAACCTGTCACAATTGGTTTTTCATATATTAGTTATTTTTGTTGGTTTTATGTCTTTATAATCCTTGGCAATTTAATTTGCCCTGTCCTGTGGGAAAGCAGGCAAGATGCTGAGAACACATTGAGAAAGACAGCGATCAACTGACAAACTCAGACAGTATCAGAAGATGTTTGAACACAACAATGCAAAAACACTGAGAGCGCTCCTTTGGTCGCTCTTTTATACGTAGATATATATATATATATAACACGCGATTGAACACGTAGTGTTTCAAAGACCTTATAACTGCTGTGGCCCTTCAGTTGCACTTGACATACAATTTTGCGCTGTCAGAAGAGTTCAACAGCAAAGGTCCACGGATGAGACAATACTCCCTGGTTTGATTGGTGAAGTGCTCGAAGGAAGCGTTGAACTACAAACAAGGAAAGGGGGTTTTTAGGTGCAATCCTGAGCTACTTCAATGGAGAGGCGCTTTCCATGCTTTGCATGGTTTTGATAGCGCATGGGAGTGGGCTAAGGCGTGGCGCGGTGCCAAAAAAATATCCAAATATGCAAAGAGGAGATTAGCTTCGTCTTGGAAGACGAATTCCTTCTTCGGGATGGGCCTGGTCAGAGTCTAGA